CTCACAGCGCCAGGGACCTGGGTTTGATTCCACCCTTGGCTGACTTTCCGTATGGAGTTTGCATATTCTCCCCGTGTCTGCGTGAGTTTTCTCCAGGTACTCCGGTTTCATCCCGCAGTACAAACATGTGCATATTATGTGGATTGGCCATGCTAAATTGGTCATAGCAAACCAGATGGATTAAATGTGGGAAATGCAGGGTTACTTGGATAGGATAGGGGTCTAGGTCTGGGTGGGATGCTCTTCAGAGGGTCAGTCTGGACTCGATGGGCTGAATGGCCTGATTCCATACTGCAGGGATTCTCATTCTATGATTCTATCTATGGATGCAGAAATGCCTGTCCTTCCCCTTGTCTAATGAATCCCTTTCATGACTGCTGTTCCACTCTACTCGTTTTCTTCCTATAGAACTGAGCTACCCACGATGATATGGGATTGGCTTTTGTTGCACTCTTCTAAAAATCCATTGTCATCAACAGTATCCAACACAGAAAAGCTATGAGCCAGAGAAGTTGTTTCAGGAACCATCTACACTACCTGCCTGGTTCTATTGGACTGTTCAGTGGTCACCTATTCTCTATCTCCCTGAATATCTCTGTCCGCAGCGTGACCAGCTCCCTGAACACACTATCCACGTAGTGTTATGCCTTGCAGATGCACCATAGTGATTCCAGTTCCCCTTGAGCCCGAAACTCAAGAAGTATCCATGACTCCCTTTGTACCACAGGATGGGTATTCCGTATAGCGAATCCACCTTGCTATATTGTAAGCTTACTTCTGAACTTTTTACTACAGGCTGAAGATTAAATCATTTAAACGCCCCTCAGAAGTCTCCCGTCAGGACACTAGAGAGGTGCCTGCGCCCTCAATCTGCACCCAGCCTATGGCCCTCAACCCTGTGGAAGTGTGAGCCTAGTTAGCTGAGCCTGCATCTGGGCAGGATGCTTTCAGCATGTCTTTGTCTTCTAGCCACAGACATCTCTGGAGTCACCTGCCCAAATCTTTAAGGCCACTGGGCTTCACTATAGTGCAGTCCTGCTCCACTCCAGCTACAGACCCTGTGAGGAGAAGGGTAAATTAAACCTTACCTAGTACATAGGTGGCATGGGCAAAACATCATTATAAATATAAGATCATATTTATGAATATATTTTCACTTTACATGATCACTTGTGTGATTGTCATTTTAGCTGCAGCTACAAGAATGAAAGTAGACTGGCTTGCCATCCTTAGCGCCAGATGTTGTTATAATGGTGTCTGAAGGATAGCTACCATTTTTGTAGCACCTATTCTTTCATAAGACTTTGTCATTATTGAGTGAGGGAGCATCAAATGTTTGGGAGGATTCCCTCAGTTTGGAAAGTTAACTTTTATTAAACAAGAGGAAAAGCTAAAAAAGAGTGCACCTGTTAACTGCATATACAATTAAGATAAAACAGTGGATGCTTGCCACTGCAGGAACAACACATTTACAATCAGTGAATGATGAGTTCATTCAACTCAGTTTGATTAAAAGTGCTTGCCAGAGAATCATGTGAATGTATGGATTTTAATGGCCGACAGTTTTCCATTGCAGGATGTTAAAAGACCTTCTGATGAATGTTCTCATTTCATATTGATACATGCTGAGGGTCTCACAGATCTTCAGTGTCCATCACGTAGCCTCATTGCGACCTCCACTGTCCAGAGCAAAGCATGCAATGATTAAGCAGCGCATTCTGCCAATGCCTCCTGACTGACAACAATCCCCCTAGACTTGACTCCTGGAGATTTTGAGATGTGGTCATTTGACCATTTTCCACTCGGACTTTCATGTTAGAAATTGTCACTGTCTAGTTACACCCCGTGACCTTGGGAAAATAGCAACCTGTACATAAATGAGGAAGATTAGGTAATGAGAAGTTAATGCCACTAAATAGATGGCTTTCTGCTCACTAGTGAGATTCTCATCTAGCCATTGAAACTACGTGTAGAAAATCGGACTTTCTTCATGTTCATAATCTCAATTCTCTATTCTCGCTGTACTTTCCCAACAGTCTTATCATTGACAAGTCATTTAGGGCCTGGGAATATTTAGCTCAAATTTCTAGTTAAAGTAGGAACAAATTATTGCAGATGCTGGAATTTGTACTGAAAACAAATGCTGGAGATTGTGCCATAAAAATTGGCCTGTTGGCTTGCATTGCAAAGTTATATGGATGTCTGCTTATGTGCTTGACCCTTTCAGGATCTAAAATTCAGCATTATGAATCAGCATTTCAGTTGAGGGTTAGTTTATTTCCCAGAGTTCTAACATAGCTGTGGCATTTGGTCTTAAGTGAAGAATGAAGGGGAAAGAATATATTACAGTTATGAGTATTTACATGGCGTTTTCAATGTAATAAAGCACCCTAAGGCACAGAATAGGAGCATAATAAAGCAAAATTTGACATCTAGCCAAATTATGATATGACCAATAGCTTGGTGAAAGAGATGTTTTGAGGAGCGTTTTAAATGTTAAGTATAGAAATGAAGTATAGGCAAAAGAATTCCAGAATATTGAACCTAAATAGTTGAAGGCATTTCTACCGATGAAGAGGCTAAAGAAGTGGGATTGCATTTGAATCAAGAATTGGAGGAACATATAGTTCCCACAGGATTCTGGGGCTGTTAGAGGTCACAGACCTAGGGAGGAGAAGCTGTGAAGGGTCTAAACACAGGGATGATAAGGATATTTAACTATTTGGTTAAACAGATCTATTTCAGTGTTTTTCTTTCTCAATTGATTCCTATGTTCTGCTTGCAGAGTTACAGCTGAAGTAAAGCATAATCCAACAAACACAATTGTATGCAAGGCACAGGGGGAATGGAATGGAACTCTTGAATTCACATACAGTAATGGAGAAACAAAAGTAATTGATACAACCAAACTGCCAATAATAAGAAAGAAAATACGCCCCATCAAAAAACAAGGGTTGTTTGAATCTAGGTGAGTAGAACCTGAACTTTTATAAATTCATAAAGCTCTCGAATCACATTTTGTTTTCAGGTGCCAGGACCTATGGAACAGAAGTTTTGCATATTTGAACTGCAAATTTCTGGTTTTCAGATTTGAGAACTATCTTTTCTTGGACAGTTATATTTCTTATCCAATCTGTTGCTTATCCCTAAATTCTTTAATCCATAAGTAATTGTAAATATTATTTGCTATCTTTTTGAAGATCAGGATGTCCGTATGGGATGTGGAACATTTTCCATTTCATCCATCCAATAGCAACTGTAAGAGCTCCTCAGACTGTTTATATCACAGCCAAATTCAGAGCAAAGGTTGCTTGATTCTGCTACAACCTGAAAAAAGGTGCCTTCAATACATAACTTGTTTGGCACTTTATCTCCCATATTGGGATAAATTAATTTATGTCAGTTTTTTGCAATAGGCCCATGCCGGCCACTTCAAATCATTTCGCATTGAGGATCCTCCTATTGAACAGGTAGATACTATTCCATCAAAATAGTTGTATTTGAACCTCAAAGTGAAAAATTGTTACAAAAAAGGAAATTGCTGGCTAAACTCAGCAGGTCAGACAGTATTTGTGAAGAGAAAACAGAGTTAATGTTTCGGGTCCAGTGACCGTCCTTTGAGAAAATTGTTGACTGGTCCCCTGTAATGCCTAATACTTCATTTGAGTTTTCATTAACTTTCAGTGTTGTGCCTGAAGTGGGAAACTATAATGGTGGTTGACAGTGCAGTTAGTATATAGGGCAGGAATTTTCCTAGAGGCTGCTGAATATTGTGAATGGGCACAAGCTCTCACTGTGTGGTAAACACTCAGTTACTGACTTTTCCACAGAGCAGCCAAATAACGGTCAAAGGTTGAGCTTACTGTCCAATTAATGACAATTGTTGGGCTCTCAAAGTGGAGTGCCAATCACAGGCCATTCAGCAGGAAAGCAATGGCAGGATGTCTTTGTGAGTAAAATGAATGAGCCCCTTTTCCAACATTGTTAAAGTAAAATACAGATTCAGAACTGAGCCAACACTGGGAGAATCGAGAGGGGCACTCCATGGGCGCTACTCCACGTCAGCAGGCATCAACCTTGAAACCCGCCGAAAGGGCTGGTTTCTTGGTCTACCAAAAACAGGCAACCTCCAGGCAGTTAAACTGTTCCCTGCTGCCTCCCAAAACCTGAAAATAGACTGGTAAATACCACTTGGTTTCCAACAATTGAGTGTAAGTAGCAATTCATCTAACTCTGCTTCTGTCCCACTTCTGTTCACAGCTCTGGGGACCTTCACTTCCTTCCTATTTTGTCATAGATGTAATCAGGAACTCTCATGATGTCTTCATATTTATAACCACAAGAGCTACGGTTACTTTTGCTCAAAAATGCTAATCGTTGTAGATAACAGCCCTGGTAATGATACCGATAAATTACTTTATTTGTTTGCAATGAATCTTTATTTTACAGAAGAAGAATGCTGTTATAGTCATACAGCATGGAAATAGATGCTTCAGGTCAACTTGTCCATTCCAACCAAGTTTCCCAAACTAAACTAGTCCCACTTGCCTGCATTTGGCCCCTCTCCCTCTAAACCTTTCCTATTCAAGTATGTATCCAAAAGTATTTTAAATTTTGTAACTGTACCTGCATCACTACTTCCTCTGGCAGTTCATTTCACACACAAACCACCCTCTCTGTGAAAAAGTTGCCCCTCAGGTCCCTTTTAAACCTTTCTCCTTTCCCTCATCTTGAACTCCCCCACACAAGGGAAAAGACCTTTGCTATTCACCTTATCTATGCCCCTCATGATTTTATAAACCTCTAAAAGGTCACCCCTCAATCTCTCACACTCCAGTCCCAGCCTATCCAGTCTATCCTTATAACTCAAACCCTCCACTGCTGGCAACATCCTGGTAAATCTTTTCTGAACCTTCTCCAGTTTAATAATGTCCTTTCAATAGCAGGGCAACCTGTACACAGTACTCCAAAAGTGGCCTCGCCAATGTCCTGTACAACCTCAACATGATATCCCAACTCCTGTACTCAGTAGTCCGAGCAATAATCAGTTTGTCTGCCTGTGATGCAACTTTCAAAGAACTGTGTACCTGAACCTCTAGGTCTCCTTGTTTGACAACACTACCCAGGGACAAACAATTAACTGCATAAGTCCTACCTTTGTTTGTTTTACCAAAATGCAATATCTTGCATTTATCCAAATTAAACTCCATCTTTCACTCCTAAACACAATGGCCCAACTGACCAAGATCCCTTTGTAATCTTAGACAACCTTCTTCACTATTGACCATACCACCAATTTTGGTACCATCCACAAACTTTATAACCATGCCTCCTAAATTCTCATCCAAATAGTTTATATAAATTATAAACAAAAGTGGATGCCTGCAGAACACCGCTGGTCACAGGCTTCCAGTCTGAAAAACAACCCTCCACCATCACCCTCTGTCTCCTACCATCAAGCCAATTGGCAATCTCTCCCTGAATCCCATGTGATCTGACTTTACTAATTAGCCTACCATGCAGAACCTTGTCAAAGGCTTCACTAAAGTTCATGTGGACAACGTCTACCGCTCTGCCCTCATCAATCTTTTTGGTTACATCCTTAAAAACTCAATCAAGTTTGTGAGACACTATTTCCCACTCACTAGTTAGTCCTTGCCTCTCCAAATGCATGTAAATCTTATCTCTCAGAATCCCCTCCAATAACTTACCCACCACTGACTTCAGACTCAGCAGTCTGTAGTTCCCAGGCTTCCCCTTACATCCTTTGTTAAATAAAGGCACAACATTAGCCACCCTCCAGTCCTCCGGCACCTCACCTGTGGCTGTAGATGATATAAATATCTCTGTTATGGGCCGTGCAATTTCTTCCCTAACTTCCCACAACGTCCTGGGGTATGCTTAATTAGGTCCTGGAGATTTAATCACCTTTATGTTTTGTAAGACCTCCAGCACGTCCTCTTCTGTAATATGGACTGTTTTCAAGACATCTATATTTATTACCCTGAGTTTCCTAGCCTCCATTTCTTTCTACACAGTAAAATCTGATGCAGAATACTTGTTTAGTATCTCTTCTTTCCCCTGTGATTCCACACATAGATGACCTAGTTGATCTTTAAGGAGCCCTATTCTCTTCCTAGTTGCTGTTCTTTCAGACTGCATTGAATTAATCTATAAAAATTGCAGGCAGTAAATTTGCTGTTGCTATTCTTTGTGTAATAATTGAGAATCTTTTGAAAGGTCCAAATTCCTGATGATTGAATGTATATATCCCTTTATAGGCGTCTTTGGGAACAGGTTACCAATGCACTACAAGCTGGAAATATTAGTGCAGCGACTGAGAACAAGCACATTCTGGAGGAACGGCAGAGGGCTGAGGAAAGACAACGAGCAGCATCAAACACTCTTTGGACGCCAAAGTATTTCCTAAAAGAGGTAATTGTGGCAATTTAAAAGTCAATAGAGAATATATAGTCATTCAATAGCCCTGAATATTCTGCATAACCTGACAATAGATTATATGAATTTCAATATTCGTTTAATAGCTACAGTGGTTCTATGCAATGGACCTTCAGCAATTTGTATTAGTGTATGTTTTCCTATTTGGCTTTCCCATTCTTCTAGCTTTTTGAGATGGGATTTATGGAGGATCTTAAGGGAGCAGAGTGAAGTGGACAGGTCTAGTAAAAGAATTCTGATGCTTGATATCTAAAACACCAGAAAGCACAACTGCTAATGCTGAAGCCAAGGTGTGGGGAATGCAGGAGATGCCAGGTATAGAGAAGTTCTCAGAATGTTGTTAGAGTACAGAGATAGGCAGGAGTGATGCCATTCTGTCATTTTAACATATTTATGGCTGAATAGCTACTTTTGAAGAATGCAACAAAACTTAAACTGATGATGTATTAGTTGTTAGATAGAATAAAATTCAAACTAGTTAAATCGCTTGTTTGTTTGCTATGTTAATAACTTACCATCATCAAGTTTCACATGTTTCATTCCATTCAATTCAATCTTACCATTCTTTTGTCATTGACTGTCAAAAATTTTTGGAGGAATTGCTATGCCTTATACTCACCCAATCTTATCCTTCTAAAGTTATTACATTGACAGACTCCAGAAGGATCACAATAACATTTTGCAGCAAAATTAAAAATGTGAGTGGTGTACTTAATTTAATTCTGCCCACATTATTTGAAGAACAAATCACATACCGTATATTCTTAAATAATATTGCAAATATATGCATGTTGTGAAAGATTATGAAATGAAATATTTGACAGTGTTGCTTGCTGGCTAGGTTATAGTATAGCATTTTCATAAAATTAGCATTTCTAAAGTTACTGTGGTTGGTTTGCTCACCAAGCTGGTTCGTTAGTTTGTAGACGTTTCATTACCCTGCTGGGTAACATCATCAGTACACCCTCAGATGAAGTGTTGAGTTTTCCCACTTGTTATTTAAACTCTAGGGTCCGTTGGAATTGATTTACCTCATTTCTGGTTTTTCTTTGCAGTGGTGAGTATATAGGGTATAATTCTACATGTTTATTGATGGCCTTCTTGGTGGAGAACCAGGTGTCTAGAAACTCCCGTGCTTGTCTCTGTTTGGTTTGTCCTGGGATCATGACATTGTCCCAATCGAATTGGTGGTTCTCCTGGTCTGTGCGTATGGAGACGAGTGAGTATTGGTCGTGTCTTTTTGTTACTAGTTGGCGTTCATGTATTCTTGCAGCCAGTTTCCTTCCTGTCTGTCCAATGTAATGTTTGTTGCAGTCCTTGCTTGAAATTGTGTATATTACGTTGGTTCTGTCCATAGTTGGTAAGGGGCCTTGGTTCTTGTTAGCAGTTGACATAGGGTTAATATAGGCTTGTGTGCTACTCTGATGCTCAGTGGCCAGAATTACAACGAAGACTAAAGAAACTCGTCAACAACTCAATGCACTCAGCCCAGGAGCTCCTCAAAACCCTCAGACCTAAGATTAGACAAGGACGAGTCCACAGTGTCCTTTGACATTACCGCCCTATTGACATTGATCGACATACCACTAGCAACACTACTGAAAGAACCAGACCCAACTAACACCATCTTCCACAGACAACATGCTGACATTACTGGACCTATACCTCACAATCCGTGTTATCTTTAATGGCCAGATCTACGAACAAATCAACGGGATACCTATGGGGTCACCCATCTCTGGACTAATAGCAGAAGCAGCAATACAGAGACTTGAAAGCACGGCCCTTCCGCAGATCCAACCCAAACTATGGATCCGATATGTGGACAACACTTTCTCCATCATCAAACAGACTAAACTAGAAGAAACGCACCAACTTATAAACATTTTCACTGACATCTAATTCACCAGAGAAGAAGAAAAGAACAAACCCCTCCCATTTCTGGATGTGATGGTAGAACACAGGCCCAAAGGCGAATTTCTGACCAAAGTATAGAGAAAGATCACACACACGGATCAAATTCAAAGTTTCAACAGTAACCACCCCCAACACCCACAAATGGAGGCCCCTGGGCAACAGAGCAGCACACAAACCTACATCAATCCTATGTCAACTGCTAACAAGAACCAAAGACCCCTTACCCACAATGGACAGAACCAACGTAATATACAAGATTCCATGCAAGGACTGCGACAAACATTACATTGGACAGACAGGAAGGAAACTGGCTTCAAGAATACATGAACACTAACTAACTAGCAACAAAAAGGCAAGACCAATACTCACTCATCTTCATTCACACAGACCAGGAGAACCACCAATTCGATTGGGACAACATCAGGATCCTAGGATAAGCCAAACAGAGACAAGCACGGGAATTTCTAGAGGCCTAGTTCTTCATCAAGAAGGCTATCAATAAACACATAGAATTATACCCTAGATACACCCCACTACGAAGAAAAACTGGAAATGAGGTAGTCACCTCCAACGGACCCCAGAGTTTAAATAACAATCAAGAAAACACAACATTACTTCCCGATTACTTCTGTGGTGGGCAAATTATTAGACAGGATTCTGAGACATACTATTAATGATTATTTGGAAAAGCACAGTTTGATTGGAAATAGTCAGCATAGCTTTGTGAGGGGCAGGTCATGCCTCACAAGCCTTATTAAATTCTTTGAGGATGTGACAAAACACATTGATGAAGGCAGAGCAGTGGATGTGGTGTATATGGATTTTAGCAAGGCATTTGATAAGGATCCCCATGGTAGGCTCATTCAGTAAGTAAGGAGGCATGGGATTCAGGAAAATTTGACTGTCTGGATACAAAACTGACTTTCCAAAAGAAGACAGAGGGTGGTAGTAGATGGAAAGTATTCAGCCTGGAGCTCGGTGACCAGTGGTGTTCCGCAGGGATCTGTTCTGGGACCTCTGCTCTTTGTGATCTTTATAAATGACTTGGATGAGGAAGTGGAAGGGTGGGTTAGTAAGTTTGCCGATGACACGAAGGTTGGTGGAGTTGTGGATAGCGTGGAGGGCTGTTGTAGGTTGCAACGAGACATTGACAGGATGCAGAGTGGGCAAAGAAGAGGCAGATGGATTTCAACCCAGAAAAGTGTGAAGTGGTTCATTTTGGAAGGTTGAATTTGAATACAGAATTCAGGGTTCATGGCAGGATTCTTGGCAGTGTGGAGGAACAGAGGGATCTTACGGTCCACGTCCGTAGATCCCTCAAAGTTGGTACCCAAGTTGATAGGGTTGTAAAGAAGGCGTATGATGTGTTGGCTTTCATTGGCAGGGGAACTGAGTTTAAGAGCCGTGAGGTTATGCTGCAGCTCTATAAAACTCTGGTTAGACCACACTTGGAATATTGTGTTCAGTTTTGGTCACCTCATTATAGGAAGGATGTGGAAGCTTTAAAGAGGGTGAAGAGGAGATTTACCAGGATGCTGCCTGGGCTGGAGGGCAAGCCTTATGAGGGAAGCTAGGCCCTTTTTCATTGGAGCGAAGAAGGATGAGAACTGACTTGATAGAAGTGTACAAGATGATGAGGGGCATAGATAGAGTGGATAGCCAGAGACTTTTTCCCAAGACGGAAATGGCTATCACGAGGGGGCATAATTTTAAGGCGATTGGAGGAATGTATAGAGGAGATGTCAGACGTAGGTTCTTTACATAGAGTGGTGGGCGTGTGGAATGTGCTGCTGGCAGTGGTAGTGGAGTCAGATACTTTAGAGACTTTTAAGCAACTTTTGGACAGGCACATGGATGATAGTATAATGTAGGATATGCAGGGTAGTTTGATCTTAGTAGTATAATAGGTTGGCACAACATCGTGGGCCGAAGAGTCTGTACTGTGCTGTATTGTTCTATGTTCTATGTTCTTAACAACACTTCCTCGGAGGCTGCACTGGTGATGTTACCCAGCAGAGTAATGAAACATCTGCAGACTAAAGAACCAGCTCGGTGAGCGAACCAACCACAGCATCTATAACCCGAGCTGCAAATCTACTCAAGAACCCTAGATTTCTAAAGTTAGGATGTGCTTGCATTGAGATGACAAGTAATTCCCATTCCGGTCTCAATGTCATAAGGCACCTGAGGTTCTGTGAATGTAAGATATGTTTATTTGGATGTATGATGGACATTGATATTAAAATTTTAAAAACAGTCAAGTAAATGGTCAACAAAGGCTTATGTAAAACATTTCTATATTTTCCATGGATTGTTCCTTTAGCTTCTTGCATCTTAAAATTGATGAATAACATTTTTCTTCACATCATTTGTCAACCATTTGTGGAAAACAGAATATTCTCAATTGCTTTGTTGCACTCATAATAAACATAATAATAATCATAATAAACTGATGCAAGTGTATTTTAGCTGTATTCTTGAAACAATCGGTTGATCAGTGCTCTTTTTGTAAGACATTCTAGAGCTTGTGATTTAGTTAAAGTGCACAGCATCTTTTTAAATGGCCCAGATCTTCTGGCTTCTAGATAGCCAGAGATCAGAAATACTCTGAAAAATACATGTTGGTTCCTGTTGAACATCCGTACACAGTGTATACAGTAACTGACCAGCAAGTTGAAATATCGGAAATTACCTAGTGTCTAGAACCTTCCAAAAAAGACACCAACTCGAATTAGAATTGGAGACTTCAGATTCAGGTTCTGATTCACTTACTTCAATAGTTAGGCAGGAAACGTTAGAGAGAATGCCCAACCCCTAAACCCTGACCTGGACCAAATTCTTTTCAGGACCCAATCCAACCCTCTCATGCCACTTCCTGGACTAAACCTGAACATCTTCCCCACCTTGGACATGGCCTGCCTGGACCTAACACGCAAACCAACTCTCTCCTACCTGACCTGGCCTCCTATCCTTCCCCATTCTCAATGTGATTCATAATTCATTATATCATCTCTCCTGGCTTGCATGGTTTTAAATTCACTGACAAATACAATAATTTTTTTTGCTGTTGCTTATAAGTGTTGTCTTTCTTCATTTTGCCATTGAATTAACTAACTTTTTGATTCTGTACCAGGGAGATGGTTGGGTGTACCATAGTCCCCTCTGGAAGACACAGTGCTGACAGACTGACAAATCCAGCTTAACCTTTGCCACTACCTCAGATTTGCTCTGATTCGGCTCTTGTCATCTGCAAAAGATTCTGAGGTGATGTTGATGTGACAAAAAAAGGTTAAAAAATGACTATGCTGTGTAAAGCAAATGAACTTTTTTTGAACAAGACATATATTGTGTATTAAGTTAAAATAGTTGCAGGTTCACCAAAACAAATTTATTCAGGCACTGACCTGTACACATGTGGCATCTGCATGTGAGAGATTGAAATGTTAGTGATGGAGAAATTTTATTTTACTGTTTCAAGATTTTATATTTTTCACTTGCAAAGACTTGTTTTGCACTTATATTAAGAAATGTGCCATTGGTGTATTTACTTTAGGCTTTATGTGTGAACCAAAAGATGTAATTCATTGTCAAAGTGTTTTAATGTGATTATTGAGCATGCCATTACACACATTTTAGCATACAGCACTATAATGCACATTGGCCCTTTTTTAAAACTATGATGCGCTTCATCACGTGCACAAATAAATCCATAAAACCTAGTTTCTGTTTAAGTTATTCTAAATGAATAGCAGTTTGAAACACGCGCATCTGCTAAGAAACACAGCCAGCTGTATCTGGTATTCACAAGGTTGTGACACGTGGCTGAACTTTATACTTTCCACAAACTAAGCAGAAGAGGCCATTTAGTTTCCATGTGCAATCAGTAAAACTTCTGTAAATTGAAAATAATTTGGAAAAAAAGTTTTTTTAGTGCTTTTAATACACCTCCTGCTCCCCCTCATGTTCAGAATAATAGATACAATTAGGAGAGTTAAGCTGGCTAAGGATTTTAAAAGTGCCCTTGTCTCAAACACAATAGTAAACTGTAATGTTACAATTATTTGGTTAATTTTTTTTAATTTATAATTTGAAGCTCATAAGAACTGGCTGCCTTAGGTGAATATAAAAATATTCCATGCATATGATAGAGATCTCTTTTTGTCTTTGCATCTATTTGTGATTCTTTATTCATATATAAATTCATTTTAATGCACTCTTCCAATTCTTCATACCTCTGCATCAACAAGTAAGTTACCTTGATATTACCAAAAGCAATGGCATCTCTTTGGTGTCACTCCTTCCTTGCAATTAATAGAAAGCATATAACTGTATTGTGTATGCCAACACAAATCTATATCATGACCTGCATTTTGCTCCATAGCATCTACTTTAAAATATGATACCTTGAAAACCATCCACTAAAAATGTGGAAGTTTCAATTCAGAACAAGCGTTCAGGCATGTTTGACTTTGGACTGTCCACTTAAAACTTGTACTTTTTGAACAGAAGTCATTTTGGATTTCTTAGTAGATGCTGGGAACAATTTCAGTTGTACCTTTGAGCTCTAATGGTATTATAATAGAATGTGACATTTAATTCTGGGGGAAAGCAGCATAATAGAAATATCCTTTCACAGAGACAGAGGGCCAAAGTGAATATTGGGATGATGCTGATGTTCATAAAAATAGGCTAATATAATTAATTAAATAAAAGTCGCTAGCCATTTCATTGCTGCGCTTCAAAATGCTACAGTGCAGATTTCATATAGAGTCATACAGCAGGGAAACCGACCCTTCGGTCCAACACGTCCATGCCGATCAGATATCCCAAACTTACCTAGTCCCATTTACCTGCATTTGTTCCATATCCCTCTAAATCTTCCCTAGCCATGTACCTGGCCAAATGTATTTTAAATGTCGTAAATGTACCCGCCTCTACCACTTCCTCTAGCAGCTCATTCTGTACATGCCCTACCCTCTCACCTTAAACCTATGCCTTCTAATTTTGGACTTTCCTTTCCTTGGAAAAAGACCTTGGCTATTCACCTTATCTAAGATCAACCAGTCCAATAGTCTGTTCCAGATTTTATGCTCCACTCACAATTCTTCTCATTCTTCCTCATCTAACTCTATGAATATAGCCCTCTATTCCCCCCTCCTTCATTTCTATTCTTATATTCTTATTCTTATAAATCTTTTTTTTAAATCTTTCTTCATTTTAAATATATTCCTTTATTCCTCAATCACTGTCTATCAAAGCAAATTCTTTTTGTCACAAGTCCCTAGGTAAAGAAGTTCTCCTAAACTTCCTATTTGATGTCTTGCTGACTATCTTGTATTGACGGCTTCTATTTTGCTCTTCCACACAAACAGAAACAAACTTCATGTCTATTCTGTTAAACCTGTTGAACCCTTAAAGATCTCTATCCAGTCACCCTTCAGGCTTTTCTTCTTAAGATTAAACAGACTCTGATTTTTTAATATCATCCTTGTAAATAATTTTTGCACCCTCTCCAGCACATCTTTATTCTTTTCAGTGTATGGCAGCCAGAACTATACAAAGTACTTTAAAACTGACCCTAACTGAATTTTGCTACAAGTTTAGCACAACATCTCTACTTTTCAATTCAATTTTCAACTTTTCTGTTCTGTTAGATATAAATAAAAGCAAAGGAGTAAGAAGATGTAATTTTCTGACTCTGATTTCTTAAAGCTAAACAAGTTGGAGATTCCAAATGTATCCATGATTCTTTTCCCATTTATATATGTGAACTTTAATCATAATTATTTTGAAATTGTTACTTTATATGTAGCATTTATCATTTTTGGATAAAGGTTGTTTTCTTCTGTGGTGTGAATTTTAAAAGGGTGGTTGTAATAGATCGCAACCAAATTAAAATTACGAAAGTACAGTTGGCCTCATAAGTCAAATTTTTGTGGAGAACAGAATTAGGCTTGATATGGAGGTGCTGGTGTTGGACTGGTATGGACAAAGTCAGAAGTCACACAACACCAGGTTATAGATCAATAGGTTTATTTGTGATTTCAAATAAACCTGTTGGACTGTAACATGGTGTTGTGTGACTTCAGAATTAGGTTTGACTGTGAATACCAATTCCCATATTTGAAAGACTTTCAGATGGTCGTGAATATATTGGAGGGCTGCTGATTTTTGTAGTATTGCACCATGCCATGTTTCAATAACTCATGGAGGGGGACGGTTTGTAAAATCTGGTAAAATTATGTAATTATCAATTATTCCATTACTTCTTTGTTCTTAAGCAAACATTCTATGCAACAATATTGTGAGGAGTTATACAGCATGAACAGTTCAACATGATGTAATTTTCCAAAACATAAAGGTGAAGTAATGCCATCTGCTTGGTGCTGATATCATGTACTTGACAGAATCACAGTTCAGAAAATTGTAATTTTGAGTAAACAGTAGTATATTTGCAATAACTCACTGTGACAGAGGACCAAAAAAGAATTACATGTGGTAGTGTGCCACAACAATTGATCTTTGCTTCTTTGGCCGTTAAGCAGAAAATCTGTTTCAATTTGGTGACTCCTGAAATTGTATGAAAGAAGATATTCAACCATCCTATGCTTATGGGCATGGAGTCTCAATTAAGGATGGGTATATAGAGCAGTGTTGTAGTTCCACCTCTGACTTGCACATCCATTGTAGCAAAACTCCAGACTGATTTTGCACAATTGAGTAAGGATATGTCTGGACTCAATTGTGATGACTTCCAAAGTGAAATAGTTAGTCAACAAACCAGAGAGTCAGAGCAGCCTCTTGCAGAAAATGTATATTTGATTTATCACGATAATAGCACAGCAGTGTCTAACCTAGCTGATTTCCAGATTTAAAGATGAATTGTCATTCTTGAAATCACTTCAACCATGCAGCAGTATTGTATTATGGTTTGAAACATTTTTCAGAGACCAAAATGACACTTATTTATAAAAATAAAGGCCTTAAGTGAGAAATATTTTGTGCAATATAAAGTCAGTAATTAGTTATCCTTGTATATTCAACCTATCATAGTAAATATATATTTACAATCATATGCCCATTCACTCTGCTGATAAAAATTAACAGATTCTGCATAATGCTATGCTTGTCTGGTCCATACAGTGGGCCATTCAGCCCATAAAGTCCACACCAGCCCTCCAAAGTGCATCCCAGATTCACCCTATCCCTGTAGCCATGCATTTCCCCATAGTTAATCGAACTAGCTTGCACATCCCTGAAGACAATGGGCAATTTAGCATGGCCAGTCCACCTAACCTGCACATTTTGGGACTGTGGGCGGAAACCAGAATACCTGGAGGAAACCCACGCAGACACGGGAAGAACATGCAAACTGCACACAGACAGTCACCAGAGGGTGGAACCCTAACCCGGGACCTTGGTGCTGTGAGGCACAGTGCTAACCACTAAGACACCGTGCTGCCCGTATTCTACTTCAACATAGAATTGCTACATGGTTCATGTTTGGTATTATTCCTTTGGAAACTAACTGATTTCTAATTGTATGGTGGGTAGGCTATAGGGCAGGTGAAAACAACAGTTCTAAGTATATGTCAGAGGCCAACTGCTTAACAGGTTTGGTCGTAGACTGAAGGTAGGCCATCTAGCTGCTCGCTCAGCTGAAAATGGATTAACACTCATGGAGTCGGAGGGGAAAGCAAGGAAATGTTCAGAGTTAGCATATTTTTAACAAAGGAATTAAAATTAATTCTTTAATGCATCTAAAGAAAGAATAAAGGAATAACTAAACTTAATTCATTTACAGTTTTGAAGCAAATGTCTGAGGCTTTGTTTGACCCATGGGTCTTGGCCCTGAAAGTTTCTCATATTGGATTCTGTAATTTGTGTGTGCTGTTTTTCTCGCCAACTCACTTTCATCAATGGTTGCATTACCTTACCTGAGGGTATGGAGTCAAGTAAATTAATTCAGCTCTGTTGCAAAACTGCTTTTTTTGATCGATAATTCCACTTGCTGATCTCTAATTAAATGTAAACAAAATATTAAAATGTTTATTTGCTGTCTTGCCACCACTGGCATTGTACCATTAAACAACTACAGATTCACTTGAGGTAGGTGCCAGAGAATTATTTTACCCTAGTGCAATTTCTAAATTCTTAGAATTCAGTCAAAACAAGGAATGATGAAATAAGGAAAGCCAATGAACAATGGCTTTCACATCTCGAGCTTCCTCTACAGGATTTGTTCAAAATGTGCAACAGGAAATATTTCTGCATAAAGTAGGACATTGGAGAGGATTAATTTTTTACTTTTCTTTTTAATTTTCACCCCATCAGCTGCACCAAATATTCCTGAATATTCATATGCAACCGAGAGCTAGTAACTCGCATTGTTTGCACCTGCAACATTTAGACTTAATTGAAAACTTGCTTATTTCACTTATTTACCTGTGAATGGTCTATTCAGCTACTGCTGGAGTGCCAGTTCCTGGAGAAAAAACAATCAACTGCTTCTAACTATATCTAACTTTAAACAGGTTCCTAAAAGGTGATTAATTACAATGTCAGTCAACCTTTGCTATTCTGTACTTTGGTCTCAAACTTAATGGCTATGAGTTTGTGCTGTTCATATAAAATACTACACAGTTTGAACATTTTTTTTCTTCCATAAATAAATCAGTGCTGTGTCATGTAACCTCACTACACCATTCACATCAGGAAGCGAAACTGAGGTGAATAGTGTTTGCAATAAATTAAGGCAGGGTAAGTAGTAAACAGTGCTGAGTGAAATAAATATGCATAAGCTTTTAGTACTGTATGATACGTCATTTAGAAGAATTACAAACTTGCAATAATGGTTACTTAGTGAACACTAATAAATGGGAAATTTAATAAAATGAACCCAATGTGCAGTGGTAAAAATACGTCTGGTTACTCCGACCTTAAGTTCACCTGGACCATCTCCGATACCTCTCTCTCCTTCCTGGACCTCTCTGTTTCTATCTCTGGCAACCACCTGGAAACCGATATCTATTTCAAGCCGACCGACTCCCACAGCTACCTAGAATACACCTCCTCTCACCCACCTTCCTGCAAAAATGCCATCCCCTATTCCCAATTCCTTCGCCTCCGCCGCATCTGCTCCCGAGATGAGGCATTCCACTCCCGGACATCCCAGATGTCCTCGTTTTTCAAGGACCGCAACTTCCCCTCCACAGTGGTCGAAAACACCCTCGACCGCATCTCTCGCATTTCCCACAACTCAGCACTCACACCCCTTCCCCACAATAACAACAAAATCAGAATCTCCCTCATCCTCACGTACCACCCCACCAACCTCCAGATCCAACGCATCATCTTCCGACACTTCCGCCACCTGCAATCTGACCCCACTACCAAGGACATTTTTCCCTCCCCACCCTTATCTGCCTTCCGGAGGTACCGCTCTCTCCGTGACTTCCACATCAAACAGATGTTCACCTGCACATCTGCTAATGTGGTATACTGTATCCACTGTTACCGATGTGGCCTCCTCCACATCGGGGAAACCAAGCAGAATTGGAGACCGCTTTGCGGAACACCTATGCTCGGTTCGCGACAAACGACTGCACCTCCCAGTTGCGAACCACTTCAACTCCCCCTCCCACTCCTTGGATGGCATGTCCACCTTGGGCCTCCTGCAGTGCCACAACGATGCCACCCGAAGGTTGCAGGAACATCATCTCATATTTCACTTGGGAACCCTGCAGCCCAATGGTATCAATGTGGAATTCACAAGCTTCAAAATCTCCCCGCCCCCGACCGCATCCCAAAACCAGCCCAGCTCGTCCCCGCCTCTCTAACCTGTCCGTCCTTCCACCTATCCCCTCCTCCCACCTCAATCCCCACCCCCACCCCCACCCCCACCTCCTACCTACCAGCCTCATCCTCGCCTCCTTGACCTGTCCGTCTTCCCTTGATTGACCTACCCCCATCCTAACTGCCCACCTGCACTCACCTTTACTGGTTCCACCCCCGCCTCCCTGACCTGTCCGTCTTTTCTCCCACCTATCCGCTCCTCCCCCCTCTACCGCCCCCCCCACCCCCCCCTCCTACCCACCAGCCTCATCCCCGCCTCCTTGACCTGTCCGTTTTCCTTTGACTGACCAACCCCCATCCTAACTCCCCACCTTCTCTCAACTTTACTGACTCCATCCCCGCCTCCTTGACCTGTCCATCTCCTCTCCACCTATCTGCTCCTTTATCCATCTTCCATCCACCTCCCCTTCTCTCTCTATTTATTTCAGAATCCTCTTCCCCTCCCCCATTTCTGAAGACGGGTCCAGAGCTGAAACGTCAGCTTTCCTGCTCCTCTAATGCTGTTTGGCTTGTTGTGTTCATCCAGCTGTACACCTTGTTATCTCAGATTCTCCAGCATCGGCAGTTCTTACTATCTCTGGTTAATACCCAGCAGATTAGAATGTCTGACTTGGAATTTTTAATTTATGATTTGGAACTTCTGGATCTACTTAATTTAGTGTTAATATTTGTGATAGCATTGAAAATTAGATTTCAGGAACTCTGAATGAAAATCAGACAGCAAACTATTGGAGCAGGAGAGTCCAAGCGACCATGCCTATAATTTTGAACTATCACAATGCAGTAGCAGTAAAAATGTTTTGAAATTCACACATACCTGGCTGATAAACGTTTTTTTCTACCTTTGAAAATTGCTTAAAAGTATGACAGATAGAATGATAGAGTTGTCCATTTTCTTGTAGCGTGCATCAGGGATCACTTTCAGCTAGCCTATCGAATTGCTAAACAGAGTTTGATATATTAAATTTGCGAATCACATAAAAACATTTAGTTGTTTCATGTTTAGTGCATTTGTTTGAGGAATATTTAGATTTGTGCAAATAATTTGATTCTA